ATGCAGTGTTTGCCTCGATACCAAAATCCCAACGAACATGCAGTCAGCTTGGAGACAGTAAGTGAGAGGGCACAGACAAATAGCACGTTTGGCGATGGTTAGGCGTGCGGCCAACCGATCAAAGGAACTGATTTCAACTAACCCGTAGACCATTACGTATAGTGTTCTGCTATGGATTGTCCCATAACAGATTGCGAAATCGCTCACAGAAAATAATCAGGTTCTCCACAAAGTCTACTCGTGCATTTTCCATAAAACGCTACTATGCCTCACTATTTATGATTGCTTTCATGTTGCGCTCTATTATTCCGGAATCTGCTGTGTGCTGTGTTCTGGACCACTCCCACTTAAAGCGGAGCTTTGTTATTTTTATTGATATTATCAAATTCCACGATAGGGGTTGCTCCTCATCCGTGTCGAATCGAATTCCACTCAATCAGCCAAACTGTCCGGCGCTCTCTGCTCGGATGATTAATATAGACACAATCGATGCTTCGGTGTTATGTTTTCTTTCTCTCTAAACCCACCCTGAATTCCAATGTCTGCTCTGCTTTTCTCTCCCATCTAGTGTTTTCATGAGAGTTGCAATAAAACCGGAGTTCACTAATGTTGTTGAATCACAAATTAAACTGCCACATAGTATTAATGTGCCACTCAAGAGCGACATGGCGCGCAAGCAGTTCAAGGCAACACCCAGAAACGAGTTTTCAGTGTCGGTATACGTAATGTGGCTGCTGAATGACGGAGTGTGCCAGACTTTTCAGGAACTATTTGAGGAATTATCTATTCTGCTGCATATTTCCTGACAAGACCTATGATCCGAGCCGGTTTGAGGTGGGTCACATTCATTATTCTTTTCAAAAAGATGATGAATAACGCAACTGTAGCCGTTTCGATCGAGAGATCGATTTCTAATGCCATATCGATGTACGTGAAACTCAATTTCAATCCGCCAAAGTCTATGATTGTCTTTATGTCATCATCTCATAGATACTCTTTTGAAGTGTCTCGATGAGCCTTATTCATGATTCCTACACTCTATTGAGGTTACGTTTAGGGCTACTCAAGACTTATCAGTCGCCGTATTCTGCAATGATTACCTTGATCACTGATCGCTCTGGCGCGAGAGCGACCGAATGTTCAGATTACTTCGTCACTTCCAAACATCGTACGATGTTGTTAAAGTCATCTAAAAAGTTATAGACCATGGAATGATGAGAACAATTGATTGCAGGAAGTTTCAACCAGGTTGTGCTCTCGGAAACTCTGCGCATTATTATAGCATTATATCCTACATTATTTAGCGATGCGCATCGCCCTTGAGGCGTCACCCTTGTGATGACATTTGTTTTGCCAACTGCCGCGTAGAACAAAAGTTAACGAAAAAACAGACCAAAAACTTGTTGTCCATACGCTGTTGATTCTGGTCGGACTCTGTTATGACTTATGACTTGGGTAACATTTTCCAAATACTCCTTTTCTTTCACTCGTTAACGACTTTTACGAGGTTTTCCCCTTTCGACCTTAATCAAAGCAGAAACAGTTGTCATATGCCATTCAGTGCCATTACGAAGTTCCACGGAACAGTAGGCAAAGAGCATTGAGCACAAAAAGCACTAGACTGGTAGGCAATTACAGTACAGGCTATCCACATGGGAAGCACACTCCTCGGCGAAGTATCTCAAAGGCAAAGCTCGCGATCATCCAGCTCATTTCATCACAAATAGTGGATTCGAATACTGACATGACAATTACATAACACGACAACAGATGACAAGGTTCTGAGTAAGTCAGTATTGAAGAGAAAAGAAAAAACATGCCATGTTTAGATAAAACCCCATTCCCATCCCAGTTCGTAGGTGCTCGATTAATCCATCTCCAATACTACACACCTATGCACACAGGTGATCCCCGATATTAACGACCGCACGAGTGGCGATTTTCATGCTTCTTTCCTCCTGCTGCTTCATTTTTCACTGAAAGGCTTGAAGGCGAAGTCTGAAGACGAAGTCACTGGAGAAGAGTAGGAGTCACTCTGACTATATTGCCGTACAGCGCCCCTCCTTTTTAACTTTTTGCGGCAAAACCGGTGAAAGGTTCATCGTCGCGGACCACACCACCCTCCCGATGCTATATTTTCAATTTCAATACCTGATCGTGAACCGCCTTTAACAGTCTTAATTTTAAATCGTGGCG